CAGATACAATGATATAAACATGATAGAAACCATAATCAATGCTAGCTTTGTCATCAAACAAACGAAAAAAGTGAACAAGGACTAAAAACGTTTGCCCATGCCGAAATGATTTAGAACTAAAGCAACGTTTTTATTTAGTTTCGTTTTTAAACAAGAAACCCCGCTAACAGAGGATGCATGCCTCTGTAAAGGACAAATATCATCTCCTATGGTCCTATTCAACGGAACTCTTCGAAAGGGTGGAACATGCTCTTCTTTGATCTTCTTGGCTATAAGAGGATAAAAGACAAAAGCTGGCACGAACGTTATGCAGACTATTTAATTTGAGAATGTTTTGGGGTTATGGTACGCTATTATTCTATTCTTCAGTTGGCGTACAAATTGTATATTATATGCTTTCTCTCTTCCATCTGAGTTTATATTGTATTATGTTGTAATACTGTTATACAAAATTTGCTTTATTTTTTTTTATTTTTTTTTTTAAATAAAAACTTAAATATTATAAAAAAAATATGTAAGTAATGACATGCTAGGAAATATCTTTTTTGATTAATTGTGTCATAATACCAAAAAAGGAAGTGATAAATAGGCGTTCAATTAAATTTCACGTATTTAGTTCATCTTCTTGGACATTTGAAAAAAACATTTTCTGTACAACTAAAAAATAACCGATCGAATGATAAAATATCGGCGCAAGTCTATGATCCACATACTGAGAACTATTTGTATTGATTTTTTTAACAGAAATTAGAAATAAAAAGTTTTTAAATGTATCATTGTTTGGAATGGTTTATACATGCAGAAAAAACAGCTATTCAATAGTTTTTATCTCACACCACTAAGACATCAGTTCAATATGTGTAATTGTATTTTAATATAATTCCCTACATGCAAATAATTGCATTTCCCGATTTTATATTGATGTTGTTTTGCTTTCATATCATATTGTCAGCTAATTAAAATGTTCGTTTTAACAATGAATATTTCGTCGTTATATTCCCAAACTTTTATGCGTCTGTTATTTTGTATGGTTAAAAACCCACTTTAGATACCACTAAGAAACTTACTAATAAAAAATATAGTGGACACACTATTTACAAAGCTATTGAAAAAAACTTTCTTCTTACTGTACAGCAAACTAATGAAGTTAGCAAACAAGAATCCCTTCTATCCGTATCATTTACAAAGCTGAGAAACACAAGCCCCACCTGTTAATGACACAACATTCCTACATTACAAACCGCTAACAAGTTAAAGAAACGAACAAAATAAATGTGCATGCGTTTTGCTGTTGACATAAACGTTTCTTCCAAAATAAACATTTTGCGCTAGTAAACCTAACATAAGAATCCTTTGCAGCGTGATGTCGTTTTTAAACAAGGAACATAACAGGTTCTATGTGTGCAGGTTGTAACGTTTCGAGTTCATACGGAGCGTACATCTGGCTATCATAACCTATTACAAAAGGATTATTACATTGTAGTTCTGCACTTTGATCCATTCAAGATTACTAAGATGACGTTTTAGTGCATAATTCTCAACATACGTGATCATATCATAAAATAGCTTCTTAGTTACATGTCGCTTATCATAGCCAAAAATAAGAAATACAATTTTTAAAAATCTCGATGAGAAAATGCATAAATAGTATTACAAAGATTCTCTTATTTTTCAAAATGATATTTTCAGTTTATGATTGCCACGCCATTTTCAACAAGTGTTTTCCTTTGAGTTAGAAGGTAATTGTAAATTTTATCAACTGCTTTTCCATTACACGTGCTGTACCTGCTCTGGAGAAACCCTAAAAACGAGAGCGTGTTTGCACGTGTCAGACTAATTGAATTACGTAATTGTCGAAACAACTGGTATCGAGGACTACCGCACAAGAGCAACACAAACAACCATTAAATAATTATATCGCTATTTCATACAAATTATCTCCTCACGCGAGTTAGTTACACTTCTTAAAAATGATGTTGATTCGATTTTTACTTTTCTTTAAACCATAGAAAAAAATACTTAATTTAGTGTTTCAAAATGTAATTCAAAAGTCTACTAAAGTGGGATTAAATCGTTTATAACATCTGACAAGGGATACCATTCTCCCCTAAAGAAATTGTATTTGATGAAAAACAATTGTTTTGAATCACCATTCAAAGAAAGCGTAAAAGAAATGTTTAGCTTGTTGTTATAACCATCCAATACAAAATGCCCAATATCATATGTGTATATTTATAATACACTAAAGGTAATACCACATAAATCTTAAGTTAAATAAACGCTGTTAATATTCATACTGCATGAAATATAAGCAGTCGTTAACTTTGCGATTTATTGCAGATTATAATCGACAAAGCCTTCCGTTTCCTTTCAGCTGCACCAAGTCGTATAACTCACCTGAAAGTAAGATAAAAATCATGTTTGCCCACCTGAGCGACAGCGAATGTTTTGTATGTGTTTAGCTGGTACAATTCACCTGTATATGGATATTTCATTCTCATGAACTCACCTGAATATGTCGTAATATAAGTTATAAGCTTACGAGAAACAGGTATACATTTTTGTGTTTACCTGTGCGTCACACCTGTTTAACTTATATTCACCTGTATACAGGTAAATTATCATTAAGCTGGGTACTTACCGGAGGATAAGCGTCGTAAGGGAGGCACCTATCCGGGGGCCGAATGAACCCCGTATGTGGGTCACGAATGCACATCATAACCATTCAGTAATCATTGAGTCTAGCTTGACCACGGGTAATACAGTATTCCTTTACACCATCTCAATACGATATCTTTATCCAAAACTGTCGTCACATGTTCCGTTTATAATGCCTCAAGTCCCGAATAAGAATAATTTTTAAAGAGAAAATGTTTTTTTTGCTGATTTGTCTATTATTATATTATATAACGGCACCCGTTATTCATTATATACAACAATATATACAGTTAAGACTTAAGAAATGAAATATACAGTTATAATATATATTAAAATGAATGCTAACGCTATCACTAAACACGTGCTTGAATCTATTCCACTGACTAGCAGTGACTTTACCCCTAGTGACTACACATACACTGATAACTATACCTACTACTACGTCTAATGAAATGGGAATCCGGTTCTGGGACACCACCTCAACACGTGTAAGTCTGACTACTGTATCACTATTACGGTACTATCAACCACTTTACTCGACTTTTTACGAGCAATGTAATGTTCACCTCATCTCGACCCAGAAGTAAAAATACGAAAGTACGACTCTGAGGTATAGTGAGATGCTACTGTGAAGCGAGCGATCAGATCAGCTGATTGATAAAAAACTGTATGGGAATCAATGCGTCCTCACACACCATTATAATCCATAGTCTTATACAAAAAGATCGTCCTTAAACCACTTGTCACTACTACAAATACAGCCGAATTGTCGAGGCCAGAAGCCCAGTGTCTCCGTGTGGTGATGATCAGGGCCTACACCGCTGCTGAAGTGCAGTGGTTTTGGTTTTGGGGGTTATGACCCGTTATGACGCGCTGTCCCAGGTAGGAATGGCGCACTGCCCGGCGTACCGTACGGAACAAACGCTGAACGTCTGCAGCTGGCAGGGAAACCTACAGATAAGTCGCCCTACCCCAGTTTATATGAAGTGAGTGTATAGGTTGATCGCCAGGCCAGAAGTGCCTTTCGGATGGGTGGACGCGCGGTCGGGCGGTCGAAGCTTTTTCTGTTGCAGCACCTGGTACGATACTCCTTTTGTCGGCTGTAAGGAGTCCCATTTGATGAGTCCATTACATGCGCACAACCCCCCAGTCTGTGTCTGAGCGTCCTGACACAGGCTGACACGGAATACTAATCACCAAGACAACCAGCCACAAACTCCTCCTGTACCAATAAAGTGGATTTTTCTGTTTGAAACATTTTTCTTGAAAAAAACCTTACAAAAATTTATAAGTTTCCTTTGAATAAAATCCTTTTTCAGCATGAAAAATGAATTAAGAATTTTGAATAGCTTATTTCAATAACGGAGAAACATTTTCAAGTTGAAAAGTATATTTTTACTTTAGATGTAACTATACACTGATAAATATTTCACATTGCTTTCAAGTAAATATACGATTCATACTTATCTTCTCTGATTTTAAGTAACCATTTCTTTGTATTTGTTTTAACCATACTGACTTTAGTAAGATATTTTTTCTATGACGCAACTGTATAACAATTTATCGCATAGCTATCTTTTACATTAACTTAATCATGTTTCTACATCAGATGCAGATCTATACAAAAACGTTATACACAAACGTTATACACAAACGTTATACACAAACGTAGACAGATTCCGTTTAACGTACCTTTGTCAAATAAAAAAGATACTTGGATTTATTTTTCGCAACGTGAAAAGATATCTTATTTGTAACTACAGTCTTTAATTTTTCTATATTATTCTAATGATGAAACATAAAAAAATATATATGGTAGTTCCACTTCCTTGTAGTATTATTACATATATATTTAAAAAAACACACTATTTGTTAAAGCTATAGGTTGTTTATATATATGTATATAATATACTAATAAACATAAAAAAATATATATATTAAATTTACATAATTTTAATTCTCCCTTCCTTGTACTATTTTTAAGTGTATATATTTTTTAAATATTATGGTAAAGCTATGTGATGTTTACATATACATGTGGATATGATATACTTGTAAACAACACTTTGTCATCATACATTACAGTTAACAATATATTCAGTAACATAGTGTAACAGAAATAAATAGAGCTGACAACTTGTATAACTTGCTCCCATGCAATACTACCACATGTGAGGATTTCGTTATTGAAATAATAACCTAGCTATATCAGTGTGTCAACAAGGTTAGAATGAGTTCTCCGTTCTCCCGCATGTAACTTCCCTTGCAGGACTTGGTCAAATTCCAACAATTATCAAGTGTATATATTTCCAGGGAAACACAAATACTATACTATTTCGATATTTTAGAGAAGGTTGGGATGTGCCAGCTTTACATTAAGGACTGCGTTGGAAATGGTGAGTAAGACCAGTTCTACACGAATGTACATTTATTAGTGTAGTTGTAAAATGAATGTTATATCAAATAATAATATAAAGCCATTTTATAAATATGTTGTATTTGGATAAAGTTATTTACAAATTTACTTATAATAGTTATAAATTATTTTCACAATATCACTATCCTGTTTGATTGTGTATTTCAATGCTTAAATCTAAATTACGAAAACTTTTTGTTCGCAGGAATAGAAGTGAGTAAAATGTTTAATTTCACAGGTTTAAATAACAATATCGTGGTGCCTGTACACATGGCGTCTTTGTCCTTATTTCTATTTTAACCTAGTTTATGTCTTGACATCATCGTACCATATTTATTAAAGTAATTGTTTTTGTATATGTTTTACTTCGACCACCAGTATTTTTTTCCTTAACGTTGAGTTTAAAGCTAGCGTGTTTTACCTACGTAGTTATTTGTGAAACAGACAGCGGAACAGGAAACATACAACACAAATAAGATGTTCATTTCACGCGAGTTGCTGTGATCCATTAATGATAGTGAGTACACAAACGCCGCTGGTTACTTCAGATAGACATTTTTTTTTTCATACAGGGAAAGAATATCTTTATCTTATGAAATTTTAAATATTTTGCCTTTGGTATTAAAATCGCAATTCAAAAAATATATTTAAGTTAAAATCTAAATCTTATATGTAAAACCTACAAATTAACCCTGAATGACCTAAAGAAATACTAATCTTCAAGTACCATTTTTAGACAACTTACGAGTGCTCAATCAGTTTGCTTAAATGCTCTACCTGCAATTAAAAAGTTTTCAAACAATCATTTTAATGTTTTATCAATCAACGTTTTTCATAAGTTCTATTCGAGAAAAATTAATAAAATTAATTAATAGTATAGGATAGATGATCGAGAATTTTTATTATATGTATACATAAAGCTCAAAATTCTGGCGGAACATCTGTAACCCAGTAGTCATAATACTTAACATAAAAATGTTCAGAACAAATTCCAGATAAGTAAAAAAAAAATTCTTCTCAATATTCGAATAGGCGGCAACATGTCATCAACATTAGTTAAGCTTTAGGTCTATTGAAATAAAACAAAACAAAATAATGAACGGAGTTTCTTTTAAAGGAAACATTACTAAATATAGCTCTTAGCAGTCATTTTAAGAGTACATCAATATCAGTGACTTTTGCTCTGAACTTATAGTTCAGCTATATTGGTTTGTATTACGTTTTAATAGAAATTATTTCACATATTTATATATAATAACATATTTTTGAGGACAATTCATTTTATCACGATGTTTGTTTATGATCACATTACATTTAACATAGATTACTGGTTGTCTGTTTTCAACATCCGACTGTTTGTGGCGGCTCAAAATGGCTTCCCCTTTGTTTAGTGCACCCTATGTCCTCTTACTGCATGTTCGTGTCGAGTTTAGTTTGGCCCTAAGTACTGACTCTGTTGTATCATACTTACTGTACGCAGTAGTGTTACAGTCCCTGTATGCTAGCATTGTGATGTAATTAATTGACTTTTTGGTATATTTGTCCTCTAGTGTTAACGCTGTGGTATATTTTGTCCCTTTTTCATTGATTCTGTGATATATTTTGTCCCTTTGTGTTGATGCTGTGGTATATTATGTCCCTTTGTGTTGAATTCGTGGTATATTTTGCCCCTTTGTGTTGACGCTGTTGTATATTTGTCCCTGTGTGTTGATTTTGTAATATAGTTTGTCCCTTTGTGTTGACTATGTGGTATATTTTGTCCCTTTGTGTTGACTTTGTGGTATATTTTGTCCCTTTGTGTTGTCTTTGTTGTATTTTTTGTCCCTTTGTGTTGACTTTGTGGTATATTTTGTCCCTTTGTGTTGACTTTGTGGTATATTTTGCCCCTTTGTGTTGGCGCTGTTGTATATTTGTCCCTGTGTGTTGATTTTGTAATATAGTTTAACCCTTTGTGTTGACTGTGTGGTATATTTTGTCCCTTTGTCTTGCCTTTGTGGTATATTTTTTCCCCTTGTGTTGACGCTTTCGTATGTTGTGTACCTTTGTCTTGACGCTGTTGTTTATTTTGTTTCCCTTTTTTGACTTTGTAACATATTTTGTCCCTTTGTGTTGACTTTGTGGTATATTTTGTCCCTTTGTGTTGACTATGTGGTATATTTTGTCCCTTTGTCTTGACTTTGTGGTATATTTTTTCCCCTTGTGTTGACGCTTTCGTATTTTGTGTACCTTTGTCTTGACGCTGTTGTTTATTTTGTTTCCCTTTTTTGACTTTGTAACATATTTTGTCCCTTTGTGTTGACGCTGTTGTATATTTGTCCCTGTGTGTTGATTTTGTAATATAGTTTATCCCTTTGTGTTGACTATGTGGTATATTTTGTCCCTTTGTGTTGACTTTGTGGTATATTTTGTCCCTTTGTGTTGACTATGTGGTATATTTGTTCCCTTTGTCTTGACTTTGTGGTATATTTTGTCCCCTTGTGTTGACGCTTTCGTATTTTGTGTACCTTTGTCTTGACGCTGTTGTTTATTTTGTTTCCCTTTTTTGACTTTGTAGCATATTTTGTCCCTTTGTGTTTACGCTGTTGTATATTTTGTCCCTTTGTGTTGACTTTGTGGTATATTTTGTCCCTTTGTGTTGACTTTGTGGTATATTTTGCCCTTTGTGTTGACTTTTCGTATATTTTGTCCACGTGGTCCACTTTGTAACATATTTTGTCCCTTTGTGTTGACGATGTGGTATATTTTGTCACTGTGTGTTTACGCTTTGATAACTGTTTTTTATTGTTGTTTTACTTTGAACTGTTGGTAATTTTTATTAGTGACAACTATTTAAAGGAGTATTTGAAAACGTTAAATAAGTACCGTGTCATCCACAGACAATAAACCAATCAGAACACAATCTCTTTACAAAACGACAAAGCAGAAACGAAAAAGAAAAAAAAACGACAAACAACATAAATCCAAAAATCAAAGGTGACATCAGCTGCTCCTAACTTTAAACGTTTGCTATGCTAAATGTGCCACTGGCGCCATGTCTTTTGTCAAATCTTTGAAAAGGGTAAGTCATACATATCTAAGACAAAGAGAAACAGTCTGATGGTAACCTTTTTAATCCCAAGGATGTAAATATAAGACTATGATGTCTTAACGACTTTGCGTTAGACATAATTTTGTCCTTGTGTGTTGACGCTGTGGCATACTTTGTCCGTGCGTTTTGATACTGTGTTATATTTTGTCCTTGTGTGTTGACACTGTGGTATACTTTGTCCTTGTGTGTTGACACTGTAGTATACTTTGTCCTTGTGTGTTGACGCTGTAGTATATTTTTTTCATATTTTTTTCGTTGTGTGTTGACGCTGTGGTATGTTTTGTCTTTTTGTGTTGACGTTATGGTACATTTTGTCATTGTGTGTTGGCACTGTGGTATATTTTGTCCTTGTGTATTGACGCGATAGTATATTTTGTTTTCTGTTTTACTTGTTAAAAATATTCAGATATCAGTGATAACGACATTTCTCGGTCACGAGTACAAGGCCTTAAGTGAACAATCCCCAAAAGATCACATGTACTTTGAGCAGTCACCCGAAGGGGTATTATGAAAATTAAATAACAACCGTCCCAAAAACACTTAAACAACTTTATCTCAATCATAAATGAAAGTACTGCAGTGGAAGAAAATTAGAATTTTAATTAAAAAGTCACAAAAATGGGATCGGACTTAAAAGATAGTCAAGCGAATTATTGGGGGTATATTGATAAATTATCGCCTTGATCACAGAGCATGAACTACTTTAATGGGTTTTACAAATAAATGGGAATATTCGTATGCATGACTGATTGTGCCAACTTCATGAAAAAGGGAGTAATGACATTTGACCGTTGTTATCAAGTCCTTCTTTTAAAAATATCTGAGATAATTGAATTAGTGCGGCAATCTTTCGTTATGTGGGTGGTAACGTTTTAAGTTATAACATAATACGTTCGTAAGAACATATATTTATATGTCTTAAAAATTATATCATATTTTAATAGAAATGAACTTTAACAATATAAACAATAATATATGGAAGATATGATTATGATTTATCAAATACATGAATTCTCCATTTAAAGGAGGAAATAAAAAACAGCATAAACAATGGAGATCCCGATAATTCTATTTGAAGATAGTAATTTTTTATTCCTCCTTAAAGAAAACAAATAAAAACTGCATTGCAACTGTAGCATTTTTCATATTTATCCACTAAGACAAAAAGTGATATTTTAACACATTCTAAAAAATGTGATAAAAAAACCATTTCTTAAAACACTACCCTATTTCTATTGCCTTTAAAGTAATTCCTGTTTTCACTATGGTCAAATATAGACACGGTACATATCTATTAACTGTAAATTACTATCAGCATTTAGGTAGATAAACGTATCTCACTTGTTAATTACACAATGATCATAAGCTTACAGCAACATTTATAGTGTAATTATTTCAAAATATAAACGAAGGGAAAGTTTTCTCTAGTTTTCGAAATATTCTGGAAAAAGAAATGATTGCATGAATGTCTTTTTATCATTTAGCAGGGTATTTATACAATATGTGATGAAGGATACTTTGATATAGGGTACTCCAATTCACATGAAGTAATGATGATTATTATGCTTTAATAGTCTTTTTTTATGGAGATAAAATACAGGTTACGAAACGCTAATCCTTCACATGATCTTCTTTTTAGTTAAATACATCTGTTTGTGATAATTCGTGTTAAACGCTTAGCATTTTATTAGTTACCTTCACAGTTTTCCTTTGGAAAATTACACAATTCCCAAAATTTCATGCAAAGGTATTTAGCCAATTAAAAGGGAAAAAGAGGCAATTGCTTTGTTCATGTACACAGTAACTTAAGTTATAACATAGCATAATCTAAAACAGATTGATGATACAAGCTTTCGATTAAAGGAGTTAAACTCTTAGCTATTCGGAAGTTTGTTCCAATTTTATTTCAAACAACATAAGCTATTTGGAAAAAAAACTGGTTTTATACTTGTTTCGCTATACAATTCGTTATTGACATCTGAAAATGTGATGGTCAAAGTATAGATATAAATTCCCCGTGAAAAATCAACATCATGTGTCAACAAATTGAAAAAAAATCCTTATAAACACTTATAAACCACACATTATGTCCTAAAATTGAGATGTATTTCAATGGTAATCTAATTTAAAAAGATGAAAATATGTCTTTAGATTGAGCATTAAGGTGAAACTCTAAAATAGTTCAGCCTGCTGTATACTGTGCCTTGGATAATTTGTCTGTCAGTTTTGCAGTACATCCAGTCAAAATTGTACTACAATATATATGATAAATAAGATGTGGGAATATAAAAGAATTGTACAACTAATACGTGGTATTGTTTGGTATTGACGATTACCTTGTAACATTTCTAAAAGTTGTTTTTTGTCACAGTAGATGAAACATGTCTATTATATGATGATACTTGGCTATCGTACTTGATCAGCAAGTTCATTTCTTATATTCAAAGTATAAGGGTCATAACCTCCGTAGCGAAGTAACCATCATACAAATCGGATCTGAGAAGGAAAGCGTCAATATGACAGCAAATATGATTTTATGTTTTATCTTCTCATACTCATCGAGTACAATTTCTTTGTTTTTCAAATAGTATATTTTGTCTTTTTCAACTTCGAGGTCTGACTTTGTCTTCGTGTGTTAACGCTGTAGTATTTCTTTTTCAATTTTACTTCATAGCAATAGAACGCACAACTTAAAAGAACATAAACTATAATCAAAGATGGTTTGTCTGATACATGTTTAATTTGACATAGCATTTAAATTTATAAAGTAAAAGAAAACTCTTCCAGGAAGAAGAACCGACGAGAATTAAACATTCTTTAATTAGGTCAAATAAACTTTGTAATATTAAAATAAAGTGCACTTTAATTATCAAGCTCTATGAAATATCGTCACTACTTCGGAACTTCAATATTATTGTTTTCTGAACAGGATACAAAGGATGTACCCGATCAAGTTGAAATGTTTATATAATATGAACAATATTGAATTTATAGTTAAGTAATCCGTACCTACCTTTGTCTGAGAACGAAAGGCTGGAGATGAAATATTTACACATTGTATGTTTATGTATATTTGACAAGAACAGGTGATGTTGACTTGTACCTGGCTCGCTATCAGATTAACGAAAGGAAATTGGCTGAAGAACACACACATGGTACTATGACGTCATCTTATCGAACAGGTAAGGGAATGCAAAAAGTTAACTGAAAAATCAAAAGAGCAAAAGTATTTTACTTTATTTTGATAATCTACATTCGAACAAAATGTAACACTCTTTATAATCTTTTAACGACAGCCATGTATATTTTTAATGGCTTAATACTTTAAATAGTTACATACCTTTTTTTGTTTCTTCCACGTGTTTGATAAACACACTTTGGTACATAAATTATGCTAATTATTGTAGAGCCTTATTCAACCGGTTTCAAGCAATTCTTTTATTAAAAATAGAGAAAAAAATAATGAATGTAACCAGAAAAAACCCCACCAAAAAACAAGATTACAGTAGATAGTTGATTTTTTTTCAATTTATTACTCCTTAAATGAAAATAGAATTCAAAAAATAACATTGTTTAGCATAACCACTGTGCTGGGTAGTATTATAAGACTCTTTCATGTCCAGGGGTGTAGGATAGAGAAGAGAGGCTTTGCCGAGGGTTTTGCCAAATTTGAAAATCCTGAGGGTGGAATTTCCCTATCCTACACCCTTGGACATGAAAGAGTATTTTTCTCTCATTCTAAATATCAGAATAAACTCAGAAACCATGAAAATGCGTTTTGACTGACTCATTTTGAAAATATCAATTTTCCCCCTGAGCTTTTTGACAAAAGCGATCTCGTCAGCGAGATTAAGCATACCCCATTTTTGCAAACATAGTTTGCGCAGAAAAAATAATCTCGTCTTTTTAGCGTGTACTGTAAATGTATCGTTAAATGTTTTAATTTCATCATGTTGCCTTTTCCGCATTGAGGCATCGGTGTTTTCCAAATTCGTGACGTCACGTCATTGTTGAGTCATTTTGACGTCACATCACGTGAAATGGTGTGAGATAGAAATTTCCTACACCACTTTCTTTCCCTGGACAGCTCTATCTTACACACACGAAAATGAGTGAAATAGTTATATTTCGCTGTTAACAATGATAATCTCTATCGATCATAGATATTAAAACCTGATTTATATTTCTTTCACAACAACTGTAGGTTTCATCACTTCCGACTCATTGGATAAACTTTCGAGGAGTTCGTAAACATTTTTGGTTACCCATTTGTGGGTAACACCCTAAATGTAATGCTAGTAATAACAGTGCTTTGCTAAGTCATCTTCCAAGGTGACGTCATAGTTCATGACAATTGTTTCCCCGATCGGACACACAGGAAAAATGCATTCCCAAGAGAAACATATGGTTTTCTAGATTTATTATCTGCACGTTGTGGGAGAAGAGGTCCCCAAACTCGTGATAATTGATTATTATCGTATTTTAAAAAACACCTGAATATGTTATGCTTTGTTGAGATTTTTTAAATCTTTGTACTAATCCTGACATCAACCATCCAAACAGCCGTTTCAAGGTACATCGCAATATGTCTATACCAGTAGTTAATACAGTGTGCCAGGGCGCAGGTTTTAAAGCCCGACTTTTACAACATTGTGTATAACGGCAATAACCAGTTAGTCACACCTGTTTCTATCTAGACTGATATTATCATAAAACTGATGTCAAAAAAGATATAATTTTATTTTTTTGAAAAATAAAAGTTCCCGGTGTAATTGTACTTTAAAAACGAGATTGTCTTGAAAATTGTATAGCAAGTGTGCCATCTTGTGTTGGGGATGTTAATTTTAAAGATGAGGAGTATCTCTTCAGGTTAAGATTAGTTTATCTTACACTTTAGAAATCAGTGGATTCTTATTGAAGCACGTCCTTCAGATCAAGATTTGCTTCCATTGCGACAACATTGCAGAATCTGATAGCTCTGAAATCACCTCAATATAACGATGTTATCACAGCAGTTATTTATACGATGTAATTTGGAGATTTGGTATGTACAACCACTCTTTGGCGATCAGCAGAGCGGTAAATAACGATTTCTGGTGAAAGAATGGCAACTTGTTATGTCCTCTTTGTGGAGTCATGTGGATAATGTACCCATTAGAAAATAACGTTCCAAAGATTTGATTATATCCAATTGATAACAAACTATTCTATGGGTAGAAGTTATGATATTTAAAAGTTTTTGAGGATGAAGTCCATATTGACATTTGGTATTTGTTTTATTCGTCCAGTCCTGACAGAAGGAGCAGCTTGCTCCATAAATTCGGAAATTAATTGGTCTGCTCTCTGGTTTTTCACTGAAGTGCAGAAATATATTGTTATAACGTTATATGGTAAATTGAATTTTTGTTGTTGTTTTCACACCAAACAAATCAGAGAGGAAAGTATAGCATAAAAAATAGCAAACAATGAGCATTGTAAATTGAGACGTCAAAGGCCTGACGCTTTATCAATAAGATGTTGAAAAAATAAAACACTTCAATTTGTTGGCGGCTGATTAACCATCTACTCCCAGAAACCCATATATGTTTGGCTTCTGGACGAAAAACAATTTCATATCACTCATGGTTTGAATACTTTTCGTATTTTCTATTCTTGCTTCACACTCGTGAAAAACTTTTTTTTCATCAGAAAATCAAGGACACCCCCTCTCTCCCCCTCTCTTTCTTAATATAACAGCAGTAAAAAATACCGTTTTCGGTGATTTGGTGAAAAATAACGAATTTTTATTAATTACTTTCTGTAGTATTTTTATTTTTCTATGAGTTTTTCTTCAAAATATATCTTCGAGAACCTGTCCTAGGTACTTCAGATAAGGATGAATAGATATATCACCGGATATTTTGCTTTCTGAAATATATTCCAGAATAAAGAGGCTATGGAATTAATCAAACAGTGTCTGATACGCGTGGTTCTACTGTACATGATTACCCTCTTTGTTTCATGTATTTGCAGTTTTCTCTTCAGAACCTGAAATTGAAGTAAATGTGACATTTCTACATTATTGATTTTTTAAATAAAAGAACTATAAAAAAACACCGCTTTTTTTTACATATCGCTGTGGTTAAAATTGCTTGAATTTTTCACGTTACTAACACATACATAATAACTTGAAAATATTACATTTATTTGACGCAGTGTTTCTTCTCATAAGCTAAGTAATAATTATCTGGAAATATTCAACACAGTTTCATAAATAGATAAGATAAGATATTTGCTAGATCGCTTGAGTGTAACATTTTTAAATATTTTATTTAAACTATTTTGATATGAAAATATCAAGAAATTAAAAACAAAAAGTCTATTTTGTATTTCTGATAGGAATACTAAACACTTTGCCAGGCATTTCAATCCCGTTGTCTTCTGGCGATATCAAGTTATCCTTTTGCCAACATTTGAACTCATTTTCAGCACAATAATTAGCCGTGCAAGTCACTCTCCTGAAGGGAAATTAGTGTCGTACATCCTATCATAATTGGCAGAGAGGGTTGTAACTTTGGCACAGGATGGCCGCCCGACAGACCTGCCTTCGACACGGTCGTTGGAAACCGTACCAGTTTAGTATCCAGGTTAGAACCATTCCAGGTGGCGTCTCCACAAACGGACACTCATATCATTGAAAGGTTGCACAAGCAAGATTGATATCGACAACCGGTAAGTGTTTCATTTTTATTGTTTATTTTTTTCTACACGAATCCCTTTCAATTGAGTATCTTTTATTTTCAATATTCTCAATCCAAATTCCTCCGTTTTTTAAACAAAATTCCTAATACTATTTTCTCCTTTCATTGCGAATTATTTGTATTTGGGAATTTTTAACAAAATTTTCAACCCGATTTCCCTCATACGGTTCAAAAGTACAAATCGTTGAATAACCATTGCATTTTTTCGCAAAAAATATTATTTTAAAATTTAATTTCATAGGAAATTTACATCTTTTCAAAGTCTTTATATATTCTTATTAAATGATAAACTTAAGCAATGCCATTGCCACAAAACTGTTTTTAGTATCACCAATTTTCTTACCAAATGCTAATTCTATGTATGCATTTCTTTTTAAACTGGAAGTGTAATTATATTTCTGACCGACTTATATGTTCTTACCAAAAATTAACCTGAAAGTTGTATTTTTTCTTATACTTCAAACTAATTCCTTTCGTCATTAACTTAGTGTCTAAGAGCAGATTGTCTGTTTGAAAAAGTCTAAAACAAACTTCAGTCTTTATTTCCAAAAATCTTTCAATGGTCTACATGTTTATTCTTACACAATTAAGGATAATGGATGATAATTTCGTGCGAAAAACAAAATCGTACAAATTACAGTTTGCATTTAATACAAATTATCAAGGTGCTAATATAGAATTTACATGAAATTTTGTGTAATTATCGAAATTTTTATTTTGAAAACATCTGAAGAACATCGCGCTTTTCTATGCAATTCTTCTCCACAAAGCCTTAAAACATGATCGGTAGATTTTTCTCAAATCACCAAAAAGCTGTGAATGCATTGATTGGTATAAAACAGAAAGGCGGAGCATAGTCTGAGGTGAATCTTTAAAGGATATTGTCATGAGAAAAAACCCAGTATGAATGAAAAATGAATTGGTATGGTTTGCCAAAACTGATACCCATAAAATTGTAATTTCTATATTAATTTCTAGGATGGGTATCCCTGACGATCATAAAGGGAGATGTTACGTCAAGGCAGTGGAAATTACAAGAAGATACACATCACAAAAACATGGACATTTGCATATCATTTCATCATAATTACACATCAGGAAATTTATTTCCACCTCTAAGGATACCCCTAATCCGAAAACAAGCTGACAACATGTCACGTGACGGTCGTGGATTGGATATAATGTTTCCCAACGTGAATTGCTTATCGACAGCTTTTGCTAATTAGTGTTCGACAATCTCATATGGGAATAACAGCTTTACCTTAAAAATTAATTACATATATTTTTGAAATGAGACCAACACGACATGACCAGGTGGACGGGGAAATGCCGTGATATGATAAGAAGATCTATGTGTTAATAAGACAAGTCGGGTTACGTGGACGTGAAGGATCGATAACGGAGTGTCGATAATGGCAGCGCTAGAAGGTATTAGTATACAAGTCAAAGTACAGGTGACACGTTGACCTCATAAATATGATTACCATTTACCTATACTTGCGTACTAATGCAAAAACAATCATTCCATAACAACCAATTCCCGAAATGAGTTTTTTTTTTTGACACTCTGTCGTCCGTTCCATGTCCTCTGATTAAACTCATGACATCTACATTACGTATTCATCGGAAAAAAATATAGGAGATTAAACCCGATCTATTTGGACCTAAGTATATCTCCTCATTGTAAACGAGCTTCATATATGTTATCAATAAATCATTGTAAGACTAAGTATGGTACTGTTCTTTTTCTTGCCTACTATATAGAAAGCTAACAGCAAATCTTACAAAATGATTCGTATACATGAATTGTGATTATGTTATTGTCTTCTTTCCGTAACTTTGTTAAAGACTCAGATCTAATAAAAAAACGTTTCATTGTTTTGCAGAAAAATATCCTTCAAACAATCAATCTTTATCTAAAGGCAGAACAAAGTTGCATCTCTATATTTTATACAAATATTTAAATTATTTTTCTAAGCGATGATTAATTGTATTATTACAATCTAGTCGCAGGGAAGTTTTATACTAAAATGTGCGTAGTTTGGACGAAATAGGGCGAGGAAACTCCAGAGTTCCATTAAATATAAAGACAATTTGTTATAATTCTTGACAATTCAACTCCTGGTTTTATCAAACCTAATTTTTCACCTAGATGGAGACAAACAAAAACACATAATAATCGGATCATAATGGTTTAACACCAACTATCGACTTTAACATTTTGAGTAAAGGTTTAATAAATTGATTTTATCTTAGATATGATTAACAGATTGTACAGAAACATACACAATTTAACAGACGTTTTTGCTGTTTTAATTGAATGTTGGCCAGATTTGAATGATGTTATTGGAGGTAGCTGTATTCGAAATACTATTGAAATCAACAAAAAACCTACTCAATCTTTCTTCATACGACGGGAAAGAGTACTGCAACGTGTTTTGCAATTCAACTGTACTCCAATTACACTTTGCATCAGTCAAGTGTTATTTAAATATGCTCGTGGGTATTTTAACGAAATTCACAGACTAATTCACATCAGTGAAACGGGAAATGCAAACTATGGAACACTAAATATGGAACAATATTACTTTGTTTCAAGCAAAAATGACCGTCATAAGCTATAATAATGCTTAAGATGATTCTGAAAATTAGCTCAAAGTTCATGATAGTCAGTGATAGCATGAATAATCCATGTTTTTTATTTGTTATTTTTTTTCTTTTTTCTTCTTCTTAAGTTTTGTGCATGAAAACTTCTGTATATTTTTCTCTACAAAGACAAACATAGTATAGCATTTTATAAGGGACAAGCAATTAAGGATTGTGTATATGAAAATGAACGAAACCACCCATGAAGGGCTCGCACAAAATGCGATGTCATTAGTTATATGTCTTCATCTCCTTCAATTAACATCAGAGATGGAGGAAGAGGAGGAGGGAAAGAAAGGGGCTTTGAACATCATCTAGATGCTGCACTTGCCGCCTCCTGTTTACCGAGCGAGGGGAACAACATTAAAGTGTGTCCTCTGCAAATAGATAGTGTCGGCCATTTTTCACAGAAGCTTGAAGACAAACTTGACATAAAAGAAAGTTGAATAAAGGAGGAAATTAGGGTAGAGCCTCTTTAATGACCATTTTACGTCCATTGTTTGTTGGATTCACTTGTTTGAGTAATTATAAACACCTTTTTGCTTTACGACTTGTCATTAGTCGTTATGCATGTTATAATTGTGCATTTCTGTTTGTTATAATTGAAGAGACTTTTGTAGTTTTTAGATGCAAAGAATTCTTTTAAAGAAAGAATTTATGTCATTTTATCTTTGATTTCTTAACAAAATTATCCTATTTGTACTAATCATGTGACGAGAAAAGTTTCTGCTTAACAACAGTTTCACGAGAAAACGCTCTTCGTTCAAAACACGCGAGGATTGGATACAAATCACATTAACCGTCACAAAACACATTTTATCTACAATATTTAGTTGATGAGAAATTGTTACCGTAAGATGATTAAGGAGAAAACATCAGAGTTAGGTAGATATATGATGTACATAGTTATCAAAGAGTGACACAATTGTATTAGGTAACTCTAACATTTTCCTTTTATTTTATACTCGTCAAAAGATGGAAGAAAATTGTATATTCTTTTTCATCATGTAAAAAAACAAACTTGTTTATAAATATATAGATATAAGGAAAAGTTCGTCTCTTGAACCTGTTATCATCATAGAATGGAACAAGGACTTGAAAATAACTACAAATGTTGCTGCATTTAAAGATAAAATTTCCAACAGATATTCATGGTTAGTGTTACTATTTAGTATAATTGAGATCACTGTATAAAATATATCGAAAAGTAAAGTAGATAATTAATAATTAAACGTTAAGAGTCACCAATATTAAAACCCTTATTGGTCTTATTGATTCATGTCAGAACAAAATGTTTTATAATCTTGGTTAATAAAAACGAACATCAGAAATCAAATAATTAATTTGACATTTCCTATTGTATGTTTTAAATAAGTTTCTATCGTATCAGAATTTCCAAATGACAATTATCATGACCAACTTTTTAACTGAACAATAAACTTTCATATTTTAAAAATTGTTGTATTTTTCCACATGTTAATGAAATTTTAAGCCGATCAGAATGACATGCCTTCCGCCAATGAGATTTCAGTGTCTGATAAGGAATATTTGCTTACTTAATCTCAGATCGTAGGTGACCTGCAGACTGTACTAATTTTAGCATGATTAATGATAGTACCAATTGTGTTGTAAAAAACCCATACCCTTCCTACATTTGTTGCTGCATTTCCTTTTGTTTTGATATATCCTCAGACTCTGTTGTTGTCTTTTTTTGTTTGTTTTGCTGTCTCCTCACGTCCTATTGTTGTCTTTTCTTATGTTTTGGTATCCCCCCAGTTCTTATTGTTGTCGTTTCTTATGTTTCTATGTCTCCTGTTACTGTCTTCCTTCTGTGATCCTAGTGTTGTCCTATTTTTATAGAATTTCAATACTGATTAATTTGATGACGCTGTGTGGTGTCTACTTTACTTTGTATATATGTTATTGAATTTCGTTTTTAAATTACTGATCAGTAATTATTTATAGAAGTATTTAACTGTTTAATGTCGGTTACGTAACATTCAATAGTTGTCTGGTTGAACTAACCCAAGACTCCATCAAAGAATTACCATACCACCCATGGCGATGTGGGCAAAGCATTCCAGAGCAAATATTTCTTCGTCCTAATATTTACACAGAAAGAAGAAAGCAGCCTTAATGTAGATGAACCTTACTAAAGGACATCTCGTCAGTGTTTATCAACTGTGATATCACATTCTGATGTTTTGTATATTACGCAAACACGTAATCGCCGTATTAATTGCTGTATGGTATAATTCGGCACATTTCTCTTTGAGATATCAAGTACGTGTTTGAAGATAAAAGGTTATATAATACAGGATACTGTTGTCAAGAGACAAAGGCATAAACGATAAAAATGGGTTTTCACGTAAACATTTTCAAGTGATAGTTTAGACTTTTTACGATGAGTGACAACGGCGTGAAAATCTACAATACATTACAATTGACAACTACGTGGACATAACATTGTAGCACCAGTGACAATCATAAACAATATTACATAAAAACTACAGACAGCCCCGTGAAAATTAACGAGACATCAGGAGTGACAACTACGTGGTCATAACAATATGACACCATCGACAACCACAACAACTTGATATGATAACTACATACAACTTCGTGAAAATTAACGAGACATGAGTGACAACTACATGGACATAAAACTATTTCATCAGCGACAACCACAACAACCTAATATGATAACTACACATAACCTGGCGAAAATATGCAATACAAGAATCATAGACAGCCACGCGAAAATCTACAATACAATTACTATTAAGACTTTGCGAATTCTAAAACATAATAACCACTTATAACCCGTTAACACACTAACCATTGACGACGCTGTGAAATCTAAAACATAATAACCATTTACAACCCGTTAACACACTAACCATTGACGACGCTGTGAAATCTAAAACATAATAACCACTTACAACCCGTTAACACACTAACCATTGACGACGCTGTGAAATCTAAAACATAATAACCACTTACAACCCGTTAACACACTAACCATTGACGACGCTGTGGTGAAAATTGAAAATATAGCATAACTAACAATATTGCTTGTGTTGATAGCGAACTGAATAGTTAAAACGCAATAATTTTGAATATCGCAAATTGAAAATTCTATTACATCCAAAAATGTAAAGGCAGTATTTAGAAGACTTACATTTATTTATGAAAGGGAAAACGTCTTGCGAATAATACTTTACGGAAAACTTGACTTGTTAGATTGGATATATAGTTACTTTATATATAAAATATTGAATATGTTTACAGAATTAAAAATGTCTATATACAGTTGTAACACCACCCGAAACAAAGCAAAACAATCATCCATCAGGCTAACTGGTGCTATTCGACGCGTAACAAGAATAAGAATTCAATCAACAAAATCCTTAAGTATATTCCAATCCGAGCTGCCATCAATTCATCTTACATAAATTCAAATGATATAAAATTAGAAGTATTAAACAAAAATACTATTGGTGGTTTCAAATACAATATGGTATGTGGATGTTACCATGAGAAAAATACTTCAGATTTATAGAACTGCATCTTCAAAAAAAATATCATACAAACTGTTTTTCAAGACTTTTATGTCTTTGAAAGACAAGCAAAACAAATCCTGACACACTGTCTAACCAAAAAGTGGTCAGTAGCGTTAATGTCAAGCATATTGTTCTTATTGCCATGGTCAGTTTCTCAATCATTATGCAAATGAAAGGCAATCAATATGCAAACGAGGAGAATCGGATTTCACATGTGACATCGGCAGATGCCGTTAAAACTGAGCCAAACATTTGTTGAAATGCAAATGTGCAACCTGACACTGACACCAATGTACGCCCAGGGGATGGCCAAAAACTAATTGTAAAAAAACGTGATGTATGGTTCTCGTGTAATGAGTGATCAGGTTCGGCTAGACGCTTAAGTAAGTGTCAAGAATGTAAACGTACACACATTTTGCATCCAAATGTGTTTAAAAGAGATTAAATTAACTATAAATGTGAAAGAATAGAAAAGCTGAGGAATGAGATTGGTAAACATGAAATTTGCAAA